GGATAAGGATCAGTTCTCCCGCCATACTGGCGTGTCTGCCCGACACTTTGTCCTGTCAAAAATGTGCCCTTTCATCGAGGTTGGGCACTGGGTACCTTGGGCACTGGGTACCCAATGCGCTCCTGCATCTCCTGCTTCATCAAGAGGTAAATCATGTCTTGGCATGATGGGTATCACCTTTGTCATGAAGGGTACCACCTTTGGAACGTCCCGTCTGAATGCTTCACAATAACATAGACAACAAACACACACAAATCACATTAACGTGATATATATATCAAGGGAAAAATCCACCAGGGCTGTGAGGTGGACTCGAACCCGCGACTCTGGCATGGCCAACCGCATAATCTACCACTGGACCACCGGGACTTGTGGAAATTCAGTAGTATGACTTTTACAAGTCAGCGTTGGTCTAGTGATACCGCATGCGGCTGCTAAACTCAGGGTCGAGGGTTCGCGCCCACCTCATGACCCTAGTGGATTTCCTCACTGACAATAGGTGTGGTGGCCGAGGCTGGCCCACCACCGCCCGCAACCACTTACTGTCTTAATGTTGACAACTCCTTAAACCTAGAGAATCTGGTCAAGGTGTGTGTGTGTGTGTGTGAGTGTGTGTGTGTGTGTGTGTGTGTGTGTGTGCGTGTGTGTGTGTGTGTGTGTGAGTGTGTGTGTGTGTGTGTGTGTGTGTGTGTGTGTGTGTGTGTGTGTGTGTGTGTGTGTGTGTGTGTGTGTGTGTGCGTGCGTGCGTGTGTGTGTGTGTGTGTGTGTGTGTGTGTGTGTGTGCGTGTGTGTGTGTGTGTGTGTGTGCGTGTGTGCTCACCTAATTGCTCACCTAATTGTGCTTGCGGGGGTTGAGCTCTGGCTCTTTGGTCCCGCCTCTCAACCGTCAATCAACTGGTGTACAGATTCCTGAGCCTACTGGGCTCTATCATATCTACATTTGAAACTGTGTATGGAGTCAGCCTCCACCACATCACTTCCTAATGCATTCCATTTACTAACTACTCTGACACTGAAAAAGTTCTTTCTAACGTCTCTGTGGCTCATTTGGGTACTCAGCTTCCACCTGTGTCCCCTTGTTCGCGTCCCACCAGTGTTGAATAGTTCATCCTTGTTTACCCGGTCGATTCCCCTGAGGATTTTGTAGGTTGTGATCATGTCCCCCCTTACTCTTCTGTCTTCCAGTGTCGTAAGGTGCATTTCCCGCAGCCTTTCCTCATAACTCATGCCTCTTAGTTCTGGGACTAGTCTAGTAGCATACCTTTGGACTTTTTCCAGCTTCGTCTTGTGCTTGACAAGGTACGGGCTCCATGCTGGGGCCGCATACTCCAGGATTGGTCTTACATATGTGGTGTACAAGATTCTGAATGATTCCTTACACAGGTTCCTGACCTGTGTGTGTGTGTGTGTGTGTGTGTGTGTGTGTGTACTCACCTATTTATGCCTGGAGGATCAAACATTGACTCTTGGATCCCGCCTTTCTGGCTATCGGTTGTTTATTGGAATAACTTCTGTCCTATTTGCCTATCATATCTTAGTTGTCGATTTGCCTATTTGTTTTCCGCCATCGCCGGGGATCGAAGCCAGACCCTAGGATTACGAATACCGAGCGCTGTCCACTGAACCACAGGTCCTGTGTGTGAGAGAGACTGTGCGTGCGTGCGTGCGGGGAGGAGGGGTGGTGTGTGACAGGAGGGAAGGGGGAGGATCCATCTACACATTGCCCCCTCCCCCCGCCACTACACTGCCTCACACACGCACGCGCACGCAACAATACGCCGGAACTCACGTCAACCTTAAGAAATATTGAGCCGTGACGCCTCATTCACGCACGACTTCTCAGCTCGTCAAAGGAAACACTAGAGTCTGGGAGGCGCTTCACGAGTTACGAGACGTAACAACACTCTGAGGGAAGCAGGAGACACTATCAACGTTACCAACACATTTATAGGTGAAAAACTAGTACCACAGAGTTTCTGTGAATACAAATTGGTTCGTTCTAATAAGAAAAAACATTTTTTCCCATAATTTTACTTTAATCGACCCTAAAGTAGAAGCCTGGTGGGTAGTGGTGAACACGAGACCTTGAGAGAGACTGTCCTGAGGGCTCACTCGTTCTCGGGACCATACCTACAGGCGGGTGGGTGGGTATGGGTAGGTACTGCATGAAGGGAGGAAGGTATAGGTATAGGTAGGAACTGGTGGGAGGGAGGGAGGGAGGGATGTAGGTAGATATAGGCAGGCACTGGAGGGAGGTAGATATGCAGGCATTGTAGGGAGGGAGGCATTATAGGGAGAGGGAGGGAGGGATGTGAAGAGGGAGGGAGGTAGGTAGACGACAATGCAGATAGATAGATCAAGTAGTTACATACCTTCATATCAGGTTAATCGATCATATTATAATCGATTAACACATTTTTTTTGTAATACGTTATTCGATATATATACAAATTTGACTGAAGACCGACGAGTCAAATAGGGTGTCATTTATGAACTTAAATTAACCTTTTGCGGTAATATATATATATATATATATATATATATATATATATATATATATATATATATATATATATATATATAACTGAAAACTTACACCCCAGAAGTGACTCGAACCCATACTGCCAGGAGCACTCTGCTGGCGTACAGGATGCCTTAACCGCTCGACCAACACGACCGGACAAGAAAGGATGGTAGCTGAGGCTATTTCCATCCCCCCGCCGGCACTCGGTTGGTAACAATTAGGAGGTAATGTGTGTATTGAGGTACCTAGCACGCAGGAAATATATATATATATATATATATATATATATATATATATATATATATATATATATATATATATATATATATATATATATATATATATATATATATATCCAGTTATTGGTTCCCCATGAGATCATGGCGAAACAAGTATCCCGCCATATGTACCACTCTTCACTCAATTTGGGAACATAGTCAGGTGTCCAGGGGTCCTGCCCATGTGCCACTTCATAAACACGCTACTGTTTGGCTTAACCAGAAACATACGAACCCAACCAACCCACCTAACCTATCGAGGCCAATGTATAGATAACGTCAATATAACAGCGGTTTAAAGTTGACTAATACGTCGCATTTGCCATCGAGTGGTTGACTGCGTACAAAAAGCGACGTGAGAAACCTTACCTTGAGGTGCTTCTGGGGCTTAGCGTCCCCGCGGCCCGGTCGTCGACCAGGCCTCCTGGTTGCTGGACTGATCAACCAGGCTGTTGGACGCGGCTGCTCGCAGCCTGACGTATGAGGAAAGCGTAAAGTTGTGCGTGTTGAACGCGAGTGGTCAACGATTAAGCCCATTTTCCCCTCCCAAATTTCCTCACACAATTATGAGGTTGTTACATGATTTAACGACACACTCGCCACGGCCTTAATTGGCTCTCGTGACGGCTCCCCTCGTCCGCTATTGGCTGCCCCAGGACCCACACTCTCGTTAAGCGAGTCCAGATGGTATAAGGGAAGCCACTATAGCAATCCACGCTTCGGTTAACGAGGACACTTGTATCAAATCATTATTATTAACCAATTTGTTATTAAAAATTAATAAAATAAAAAACAACTTTATTAAATGGTTGTCAATATATCATTAAAAATGTTGTTTACTAATTATATTTTGTTGTCGTCATGAGGCAGTTTTTCTGCTCCGCTACACCGTGGAGAGTCTACACCGTGGAGAGTCTACACCGTGGAGAGTCTACACCGTGGAGAGTCTACACCGTGGAGAGTCTACACCGTGGAGAGTCTACACCGTGGAGAGGCTACACCGTGGAGAGTCTACACCGTGGAGAGTCTACACCGTGGAGAGTCTACACCGTGGAGAGGCTACACCGTGGAGAGGCTACACCGTGGAGAGTCTACACCGTGGAGAGGCTACACCGTGGAGAGGCTACACCGTGGAGAGTCTACACCGTGGAGAGTCTACACCGTGGAGAGTCTACACCGTGGAGAGTCTACACCGTGGAGAGTCTACACCGTGGAGAGGCTACACCGTGGAGAGGCTACACCGTGGAGAGGCTACACCGTGGAGAGTCTACACCGTGGAGAGTCTACACCGTGGAGAGTCTACACCGTGGAGAGTCTACACCGTGGAGAGTCTACACCGTGGAGAGTCTACACCGTGGAGAGGCTACACCGTGGAGAGGCTACACCGTGGAGAGGCTACACCGTGGAGAGTCTACACCGTGGAGAGTCTACACCGTGGAGAGTCTACACCGTGGAGAGTCTACACCGTGGAGAGTCTACACCGTGGAGAGTCTACACCGTGGAGAGTCTACACCGTGGAGAGGCTACACCGTGGAGAGTCTACACCGTGGAGAGTCTACACCGTGGAGAGAGCCTGGGGCCAGATTCACGAAGCAGTTACGCAAGTACTTACGAACGTATACATCTTTCCTCAATCTTTGGCGACTTTGGCTACATTTAATAAACAGTTTACAAGCATGAAACTTCCAAATCAACTGTTGTCAGTGTTACAAACAGCCTCCTGGTACTTCGGAGCTCATTAAATTTTTAATAATTGTAAACAAAGCCGCCAAAGATTGAGAAAAGATGGACAGGTTCGTAAGTGCCTGCGTAACTGCTTCGTGAATCCGGCCCCAGTTCCTTCAGTCATCCCTCGTAGCTCACAGAGCCCGTTCTCTTGATTTCCACTTCGTAAAAAAGGCAGTGGTTTAGCCTTACCGAAAGCGTCGGACCCAAGGCTACGTAACCTGCAGGAAGCGTTGATATCGCGGCGTTTTTAATTTACCTAAAACACTGCAATTTTTACGCTGGGTTCGAATGCCTAACAAATGCAGTTAGCTCAGTAAGAGGATAAGTTGCGCTCACACTTGGACCACTGGTGCTGTGTCGGGACTCCAATGTCGGCGCTGCATTCTCAAAGGGTTGGTCTTACATACGTTGTATACAGATTTATTCATGCAACCTGTAATCTAGACATCTTGAATACAGGAGTTACTCACCAGCAGGAGCAGCAGTAGGTAGCAGGAGCAGCAGCAGGGAGGGAAGCGCCCCAAGGAGCAAGGAGGCTCCAGCAGGTCTGGCGAAGGACATCCTTCCGTAGGCTCCTGCCACAAAATTAAGTTCAAGTTTAAGATTTTTTTTGGGTAGGATGAATGTGTGTGTGTGTGTGTGTGTGTGTATGCTTACCTAGTTTTGCTTGCGAGGGTTGAGCTCTGGCTCTTTTGTCCCGCCTCTCAACCGTCAATCAACTGGTGTACAGGTTCCTGAGCCTATTGGGCTCTATCATATCTACCTTTGAAACTGTGTATGGAGTCAGCCTCCACCACATCACTTCCTAATGTATTTCATCTGTTAACTACTCTGACACTAACAAAATTCCTTCTAATGTCTCTATGGCTGATTTAGGCACTCAATTTACACTTGTGTACCCTGGTGCGTGTTCCCCCTTTTGTTAAATAAACTGTCTTTTCTACCCTATCAATTCCTTTGGGAATCTTGTATGTAGTGATCATGTCCCCCTCCCTAACTCTCCTGTCTTCCAGCGACATGAGGTTTAATTCCCGTAGTTTCTCTTCATAGCTCATGCCCCTCTGTTCGGGCACTAGGTTGGTGGCAAACCACTGAGCCTTCTCCAATTTAGTTTTACGCTTGACGAGATGTGGACTCCATACTGGAGCTGCATACTGCTGGATACAGTATAGACTCCATACACAGTTTCAAATGTAGATATGATAGAGCCTAACAGGCTCCTGACTCTGTACACCAGTTGATTGATAGTCGAGAGGCGGGACCAAAGAGCCAGAGCTCCATCCCCGCCAGCACAACTAGGTGAGTATAGGAACATCAATCATCACACCGGCAGGAAGATGAATCAATAGTGATGATCACTATAGGAGAGGTCGGAGTCATCAATACCTCAACATGAGACGAGGGGGGAAGGCAGCCGCTGCCCTCCTGTCCCTGATGCTCCAAGACAAGGACAACGTCTGAGAGGAACCGGTTGAATCCGGCGCCGCTGTCTTGCTTCCTTATGAAGCTTCCTGCCGGCCGGCCAGACAGACGGATATGACGCTCGTAGCGTCATATCCGGCCAGTCAGTCGACGCTCGTAGCGTCATATCCGGCCAGTCAGTCGACGCTCGTAGCGTCATATCCGGCCAGTCAGTCGACGCTCGTAGCGTCATATCCGGCCAGTCAGTCGACACTCGTAGCGTCATATCCGGCCAGTCAGTCGACGCTCGTAGCATCATATCCGGCCAGTCAGTCGACACTCGTAGCGTCATATCCGGCCAGTCAGTCGACACTCGTAGCGTCATATCAGGCCAGTCAGTCGACGCTCGTAGCGTCATATCCGGCCAGTCAGCCGACGCTCGTAGCGTCATATCCGGCCAGTCAGTCGACGCTCGTAGCGTCATATCCGTCCAGTCAGTCGACACTCGTAGCGTCATATCCGGCCAGTCAGTCGACACTCGTAGCGTCATATCCGGCCAGTCAGTCGACGCTCGTAGCGTCATATCCGGCCAGACAGACGGATATGACGCTCGTAGCGTCATATCCGGCCAGTCAGTCGACGCTCGTAGCGTCATATCCGGCCAGTCAGTCGACGCTCGTAGCGTCATATCCGGCCAGTCAGTCGACGCTCGTAGCGTCATATCCGGCCAGTCAGTCGACGCTCGTAGGTAGCGTCATATCCGGCCAGTCAGTTGACGCTAGTAGCGTCATATCCGGCCAGTCAGTTGACGCTCGTAGCGTCATATCCGGCCAGTCAGTCGACGCTCGTAGCGTCATATCCGGCCAGTCAGTTGACGCTCGTAGCGTCATATATCCAGCCAGCTAGATACCCTGCTCATAGCGTTATATCCAATCTGCCAGCCACTCTCCTTATTGCGTCACCCGCTACATCCGGCCAGGAAGATGGACTGTTTATAGCGTCATATCGGGCCATCAGTCAGCCGCCCTGCTGATAGGGTCACCCGTCACCCTTCCTGTAACATCACCCGTCACACCCCCATCTTAAGAGTCACCCGTCACCCTTCCTGTAACATCACCCGTCACACCCCCCATCTTAAGAGTCACCCGTCACGCCCTACGTCACTCAGACTTCCAAGAAAGCTTGCTAACTTAAGCATTCTGGTCACAACTTGATCCTCTTAAGTCGCGTTAAAATGTTAAAGTGGAGTGAATTAATGCCGCAATAAGTAGTGTTAAGCATCGCCAGCCGACACCGTCCCTGGGGACAAGGTAGGACTCATCGAGCAACCATTCACGAAACCTGTACATCTCTCAACAGTCTCTGAGGCTTTGTTCACTTTGGCTTTGTTTACGTTTGATAACTTTGTTTACTTTAATCAACAAGGCTTTGTTTACTTTTGATAACACATGGGTGAGGAAACTGTGCCGTTGAAGAGAGCATCAACTCGTGAATGAGATTCTGGGAAAACGTCCATGTGTGTGTACGTCTTATGAATGTGCGTGTGTGTGTGTGTATTCACCTAGTTGTCTTTGCGGGGGTTGAGCTTTGCTCTTTCGGCCCGCCTCTCAACTGTCAATGTGTGTGTGTGTGTGTGTGTGTGTGTGTGTGTGTGTGTGTGTGTGTGTGTGTGTGTGTGTGTGTGTGTGTGTGTGTGTGTGTGTGTGTAGAGGACACCACAACTGTTCGTGTGACTAATCACACTGTACCTTTCATCTCTTGGCCAATCACACTCAAGAGCTCAGCTGGATAACTAACCAATCACATACTTTTAATGTCAGCTGATAATTGTAAATACAATTAAGTTCACGTTACTACTTTATCGTAGTGTTAATTAAAGCTCATCAGATTCACACTCCGAACAACGGGCTCACCATAGCCCGTGCTACTTGGAACTTTTTGTTCCAGGTAGCGAATCTTTAACAACAACAATCCGAACAACAACAACAATTCTAATTACACCAACATAAACATTACACAAGACGGAAGATACATACAAGAATGGACAGGAGAAACATGGCCCGACATAGGAGATACAATATAAAATATGGAAACTACATTACAAAAGATAATATATAGCCATTTATCTACTTTTCATTGCGATATATATATATAACATATTCTGAAACTTGTTATAACACAGGCTATATTTAATAACATTGCTGGAAATTGTAGACACGTATTAGCTAATAAAGACAATTGTTATGATGCATAAAATTGGGAAGATGGGATTTCCATATTTACTGACAGAACGTCGGTTTGTACGAGGATGGAGGCGAGGCTCTTGGGGCTAGCCTCACTCACTATCCCGAGGTGACACGCAGGATGGGGCGTGAGAGTGTCATAGGGTAGTGACACACAGGATGGGTCGTGGGAGTGTCATAGGGTAGTGACACACAGGATGGGGCGTGGGAGTGTCATAGGGTAGTGACACACAGGATGGGGCGTGGGAGTGTCATAGGGTAGTGACACACAGGATGGGGCGTGGGAGTGTCATAGGCTAGTGACACACAGGATGGGGCGTGAGAGTGTCATAGGTTAGTGACACACAGGATGGGGCGTGGGAGTGTCATAGGCTAGTGACACACAGGATGGGGCATGAGAGTGTCATAGGTTAGTGACACACAGGATGGGTCGTGGGAGTGTCATAGGCTAGTGACACACAGGATGGGGCGTGGGAGTGTCATAGGCTAGTGACACACAGGATGGGGCGTGGGAGTGTCATAGGCTAGTGACACACAGCATGGGGCATGGGAGTGTCATAGGCTAGTGACACACAGCATGGGGCGTGGGAGTGTCATAGGCTAGTTAGGGTTGGTCCCCAGTGCAACACTTTAAGAAACATCTACATCATAAGTACCCCCCCCCTCCCTCCCTCCCCGACCCCCCCCCTGCAATTTTCATAAAGTATGAAAAAGAGGTTTCGTTTTCCGTAGATTTATTTAGTAATTTCAGTGCTTTGTAATATTTTTTTGAGGGGAAGGGAGAGGGCGGTGTGGGAAGAGAGGGAAGGGGAGGGGGAAAAGGTGGTGAGGGGATGAGAAGCGAAAGAGGTTGAGGGGGACGGGAGACTGAGAGAGGGATGGAGAAGGGGGATGGTTATTTTGACATTCTTGAGTTATCTTGAGATGATTTCGGGGCTTTGCGTCCCCCGCGGCCCGGTCCTCGACCAGTCCTCCTTTATATTACACAACCCCAGGAAGCAGCCCGTAACAGCTGTCTAACTCCCAGGTACCTAGTTAGCATCAGAGTGAAAGAAACTCTGCCCATTTGTTTCCGCCTCCACCTGGGATTGAACCCGAAACCTCAGGACTACGAATCCGAAGCGCTATCCACACAGCTGTCAGGCCCACAGCACATTTGTACACATTTGGGTGAGCGAGTTCCAAGCATATATACTAGTGGCTTTACAAGACTGTAATTACCATATTATGTATCCTCACATTCCCAATGTACTTTCTTGTATATGCATAAATAAATAAATAAATAAATAAATAAATAAATAAATAATGTCGTGTGGTCAAGTAGAAATAATTTAAGTGAGATTTTATTCATACTGTAATTCAAATTCACTGATTTAGCTTTCATATATTTAATTTGCCATGTATATAATATGTATAGGCCTGTAATATTACACAATTGAATATGTTTTTAGGAAGAACTATAATTAGTAATTAAAATATATTTTACGGGAAATACATTGATTCCAGCAATTAATGGCTGACATTTACTAATGATATCTTACTATTATATTATTGACTTGTCTTTTCATAAAATATATATTAAATTCTAGAAGCAGACACACACACAGTATTTCCCCAAAGCGTTCATTTGAGATCCAAGCGGCAGGGAATTTATATTAAAATTTCCTTAAAAAAATGATTCGCTAAGAAATTCTGTCGACATTTTCCCCTGTGATGACGTCATGCAGGACTCTCCTTGACGTCATGGAGCCGCTCGGCATAATGGCTGCCAACCCGTCCTCGACTCCAGTCCATTCCATCCAGCGGTCGACCCCACAGACGCATTCTTAATTTTTAACATGCTGTTCATTCAAAACAGGAATTTTCTCAAATATAAATTAATATTATAATATATTACCATATTGTGCATATAAAGACATAGGTTAGGTTAG